GCCAATAGGGACGCAGCCTTCTACGAGAGGGGTATAATGAAGTTGGCATCTCGTTGGCAACAAGTTTACGAACAAAACGGCGCATATTTTAACTAAATCCGATCACTGTAACACTTTTTATAAAGCATTGAATGAAGAGCAAAAAAGCGGAAGGGAAATAACGGCCAACCTTATATAATGTTTTGTTCTATCATGAAAATCGATGTACCGTGGATTGTAGTGGAGTTTTTGGCTTTTATATTGGTTCTGATTGTTTCTTGTCGCGTAAAAGTTGATACTGTTAAGTTCTTATTCAAGGAACCAGGTTAGGACTGTAGGCCAAATCGGTACGATTGTTTCCCCAAGAGGTGCTTTGAACATGAGTAGTAAGATTACTGTACAACAATATAAGTTTTTGGACTCACTTTTAACTTTTGCAAATGTACCTTACCCATATGCTGCACTGTTGTTGTAAATGACAACAAACTTGATCTGAATTTATGATTAAGTATTGTCTCAAGTCTAGATTCCAAATAATTCACTGCTTTTATTTATTTTTTTGATTACCATTGTCACAGGTCTATACATCTAAAGATGTATCGTCGATTCAATGTTAAATACTTTCAATACGTATTGTATGATAGTTCGATATTACATCAACCGCCGCAGCTTATATTCAAGGCGTCCGAAGTGTGGGTAGATTCCTTCGTTTCTACCGAGATGGTATTTATGACTATTGTTTTCCGCTTCCACACATACACCAATCAATGAAAGACATTTCTAAGTTTCAAATTAGTCAATTTTATTTACAAACTTAATTATAAACAGACTTTTTTTCTCTTAATAAATTTATCTATCACGAACTGAACTTTATAATTTTGATTCTCTTCTTTTGTAGTCTCCTCAGGGTTATCCTTACGTTCAAATGTGCTGTCCAGTTTGTTGAATTTGGATCACACGCTCGTTGGACTTATCCTCGATAGCTGGCTTTGGCACACTAACTGTTAAGACGCCATCCGAAGACAGTGTGGAAACCACTTTATCGGACTTGAATCCTTTCGGCAAAGCGTAACGACGGACAAAGTGTCGTGAGATGTAACCATGATCATCTTCACGCTCCTCATGTTTACCCTCAACCACGATGTGATCATCGACCACCTTCACACTCAACTCACTGGGCTTGAACTGCTGTACATCCATACTGGCTTGGAACCCATCCTTTCCAATTGTAGCTAATGGCAAATCTTTATCCAATTTGCGCAAACGACCATTTTGGGAAGTTTTGATTGCTGGCCACTGAGTGTAGAACACTGGTTCGTAGAATGGTGTCAAGCGGCTCAAGTCATCAGCCAAGCTCAAGATCAATGGTAGAGATGACATTTTTACTTTTGTATTTAGTTTATTCACTTCTCGAGAATAGAAAACTTCAAAAACAGTTCTTTAACTTTGTTTTTTATTAACAAATTTGTTTCAGATTTTGCTTGAGGTTTTTTGCGCGCTTGTTTAACGCTTTTTTACTTGTAGCAGTTTGAAATTCAACTATGCCGGTAATCGCGAGTGCCGGTGTATTTATACTCACAGCTGGCGGAGCAACCATTCCGACGTGCTGAGAGATTACCGCGACGTTATCAAAGTATGTACATTTCTCTATTCTCTCACTTGACGAATGCGCGCTCATTGTTCCAATTTGTTTGGCCAGAACTTTCGATTTCAAGAAATTTCGATGTTAGCGGGCAAACACTTTACACACTACAATTTCAATTAGAGATAACTTAATAAATACATATAGAAGTACAGACTATATAGTATTATATTGCTACCAAAAAAATAAATACATTGACAAAGAAAATCTTATTTCCGTTTTTGGTGTATATATTGTAGTATATTAAATCTGCAAATGGCTTATTGGCTCAGATATTACTTTTGTTTCCAGTGTACAAATGTATAATATTGGTTAAATCTGCTATTACTAACTCTAATATAATAATTTTTAAAACTACGAAAAGTGCAATAACCTTTCGAACAATTAATCCACAAGCATAAAGTCAAATAGGTGGTATGATGGCCCTTTATTCAAAAATTTGAAAATTTGTCAATGGCACCGAACTTTAAATAAAAATTTTATAAAATTTAAAATTTTCTCTATTATTTGTCTAAAGTGGTTCAGAAGCTCACATCCAAAAATTATCAAAGTCGCTCTATACTTTTAGGCACATATCCATATCGGATACGAGCGATATGAGGACTCGCTTAACTTAAGGAGTTGAGCTCTTTAGGATATTCAAACATCATATATTCTTTAGTTGCTTAAAGTGTACTAGAGGCTCATAAAATTGGCACCTGTGCACACTACATATGATTGGAAGAGATATCTGAATAAAATTAAGCAGAAATAATTCAATCAGCATAATATGATTTGGTAAATAAGGGATACCGCTCCATACAATACGTCATCGTAAATATGAGAATATGCTAAGTCCTGTCGGATATCAAGAAATATGTAATACTTATACACACATACTTATATCTATATAAACCTATACAACTGAGGTCAATGACATTTAAAGTCAGTTGTGATAAATATTATTTGTAACATACATACATATATGTATGCATATGTAAGGCATTCTCCATATACATATCTATGGTATATTTATCTCCAGAAACTTCATTAATAAAAATAATAATAAATGTGTAGTACATGTAAAGCATACTTATATACATTTGTATAAAATATAAAGCAAACAATACACATAATATACTACATAAGTATGTATGTACATAAGAATAAAAATACGTTAGGCCCATAGATAACGTTAATCAACATAAAGCTTTTATTAAAGTTCACAAGAACTCATTAAATGAGTGTCATATACAAACATAAGTGTTCATGTACAAAATGGATATACATTTATGTATGTACATACATATATCGACTTATTTTCACAAACCAGTTGGCAAAGTCATATAATACGTACATATGTATATAATAAATAGGAATGTTCATGCAATTTCTGGAAGCCAAAATCTCATTCTATTGTTTGGCAAAAACCTTATACGAAAATATACGCAAAAATGTTTGCATGTACACGTGTGTATTGAAATGATTAACTCTGCTTAGTATGGTTGTTGTTGCTATTATCTCTCACCAAGTCGAAAGTTTGCTCCGCGCTGTGAGTATAAATACACCGGCACTCGCGATTGGCGGCATAGTTGAATTTCAAACAGCAAGCAATAAGAAAGCGTTGAACAAGCGCGAAAAACTTCAAACAAAACTTTTACTAAAAATAAAGTGGAAGAACTGTTTTTGAATTTTATTTTTCTATTCTTGAGAAGTGAATTAACTAAATACAAACGTAAAAATGTCGTCTCTACCATTAATCTTGAGCTTGCTGATGACTTGAGTCGCTTGACACCATTCTACGAACCAGTGTTCTACACACGTTGGTCCCGCCATTAGCACCACGCCCAGTGGCCGTTTGCGCAAATTGGATAAAGATTTGCCATTAGCTACTATTGAAAGGATGGGTTCCAAGCCAGTTGATGTACAGCAATTCAGCCCATGAGTTGAAGTAAAAGTGGTCGATGATCACATCGTGGTCGAGGGTAAACATGAGGAGCGTGAAGATGATCATGGTTACATCTCACGACACTTTGTCCGTCGTTACGCTTTGCCGAAAGGATTCAAGGCCGATAAAGTGGTTTCCACACTGTCTTCGGATGGCGTCTTAACAGTTAGTGTACCAAAGCCGGCCATTGAAGATAAGTCCAACGAGCGTGTGATCCAAATTCAACAAACTGGACCAGCGCACTTGAATGTAAAGGATAATCCGGAGGAGACAACCAAAGAGGAAAAGCAAAAGCGTGAATCGTATATCATTCACTTAATTTATAGGTGTTGTAGAAAAGTATTAAGAAGTATATAAGAAACATTATAAAATGATTTTGTTTTTAAGAAAAGGCTGAATTTTGAGTTTTTATTGCTTTTAAAATGAATTAAAAATAAACAGTTGTTTTAAATTAAATTGTCTTTTTATAGTTTCGTTTCATAGTTTTTCATTGTAAGTAGCTAGAAATTTAAAACTTTACTTTTCCAAACATTGAAAATCTTAAGTCTATCAAAATGATTTGGCCTTGTAGCTGCTTGAAAATTTTCTAAGGTATTTGAAACAGAAGCATTTACGGCTATACGAGGTGTGTTCAAAGGAAAAGGGAATTTCCATTTTCGCAGGTGGGGACATTCGATTATCGATATTTTGTTATGTTATAATCGAACATACATGTTTATCATGTCCTTACATTAGGAGCAATTCGATTAGTAGCTTTTTCTGACAACAGAAAATCTAAGTCACGTTTTGTATGCTATTTTCCTATTCCCAAACTGAAAACCAATGAAAGGAAGCGTTTTGCCACAATTGATCAGATTAAGTCAGAATTGAAGAATGAGCTGATGGCCATACCGAAATGCACAAATCAGAAGTGCTTCGAGGATTGGAAAAGGCGTTGGCACAGTTGTGTTATATCCGAGGTGGATTACTTTGAAGGACAAAAGGAAAGAAATTATACCGTGATTTTTCTATACATCTGGTCCAATTCGAATTTATGCTTATTCTGGATAAGTTCCAATAGAACACATAAACGTATCCCGTAGTCACAGACACTTCCGTACATATTTCTTTGAGGTGACATCAATGATAACTATAATTAAGAATCGTGTTAACAAAGTACCAAAGAACTGTGAGCCTTGACGGATAAATACCATCTCGGTAGAAACGAAGAATCTACCCACACTTCGGACGCAGTAAATTATTTGGATCTAGACTTGAGACAATAATTAATCATAAATTCAGATCAAGTTTTTGTCATTTACAACAACAGTGCAGCATATGGGTTAGGTACATTTGCAAAAGTTAAAGTGAGTCTAAAACTTTCTTGTTGTCCAGTAATCTTACTACTCATGTTCAAGGCACCTCTTGGGGAAACAATCGTACCGATTTGGCCTACAGTCCTAACCTGGTTCCTTGAATAAGAACTTAACAGTATCAACTTTTCGCGACAAGAAAACAATCGGACCAATATAAAAGCCAAAACTCCACTACAATCCACGGTACATCGATTTTCATGATAGAACAAAACATTATATAATTAAAATCTCGAGT